TGTATGGCCGTCTGTGTGAAACAACAAATTGCGTAATTTGCCCTTACGGCAGGGACGGTGATTGCATGAGTTCAGGTACGATATACCTGATCTCGTGTAACAATTGCGGAGATGAATATATTGGCGAAACGGGCAGACCTTTGTGTATCCGTATAAAAGAACACCTAGATGGCAAACGAAAACTAAGACGAAGCACCCCACTAGGCACGCATAGGATACAAAAGCATAGCGGAGACGATTTTGAAGTGAAAGTCAATATCCTTGCACAGGAGTCCAAAACACCAGCGCGAAAACTCCTTGAGGCTTTTTGGATCAATGCCAAAAACCCTACAATGAGTAGCAGGAAGGAATGCCCAGAGGTCATACGCGACCTGACCCCGTATGTTTGCATCAATTTCTGATGTGGGATGGTGCAGTCATCAACCATATGCGACTATAATCAGCTGTTCGAAACTTCCTCATTGGAAGTCACGAAAAAGCGGTGGGTTTTTCGAGAAGTTGTTGATTGTGTAATTGCCGGAGAGTTCTTCGTCTTTTTGTAAGTGTTATTGAAGCGTTTGGCCTAGTAGATTGTATATCAGCATACCCTTCCAGACTCTGAAGAAGGCGATACTGCCGAAACGTCAGCTAGCGTTGTATTGTATTGTGTTTTCTTTATGGAAGTAAATGTATGCTGTTTAAAAACCTCGCGATTGCTGAGCAAGAAAACGACACATATCGAACACTGTTTTGAAAATTGTTGTAGAGAATATGTTACACACATATGCGTGCAGAAATTCATTTGTAGACGGAAACGATATCAAACGTGAGCATGGAAGATTTTTTGGAACTGCTAAACGTCGTCTATCCATCTCATCGACCAGTAACCGGTAAGCCACCTTGGAGAATTTTTTTCCCCAAACAATTGTGTATGAATAATTATGCTGAGATAATGTTATACCTTTTTATTTTCTGCCTACTATAATTTCGCGGCAGGGTACTAAGCGAAAGACAACCACAACGTTGGTGAGATATTTGTAAAACTTTGGGCCACAGGTGTATGCGATGGGGTACGAATATGTTATTATACTTCCCGGTGGCTAGTGCATTCACCACCACACCATATGACTTTTTTTTTTCGCATTTCTCTCAGTCACATCTTTATGGTTATACTTCACATAGTACTCAAGCATTAAAAAAGAATTGGCAGTAAATGAAAAGCGACTCCATTGTGATTTATAACACAGTTTCAGCTTAACTCGGTCCAATGCCGATTTGTGTTCACGAGATTAATCCTGTTGACGGGTGATTGCTGATGGCTCCTATAGGTCAATAACATGGCTGAGAGAAATGCGAAATGAAGGGCTCATATGGTGTGGTGGTGAACGCGTAAGTCACCGGAAGGGGTAATAGCGTGTTCGTTCCCCACAGCAGACACCTGCGGTTCGTAGTTTTACAGATGTCTCGGCGTCATTATGGTTATATTTCACATATTATCCTGCCACTAGGAAAAAGTAGGTAGTAAATAAAAAGCGACTAAATTCGCTATCCGTTTGTGAAACCAAAAAGTAGTCCTAGTCAACCTAGGGATTATGAAGAAAAACGGTGGAAATTGGACAGAATGTGTTGTAAGTTATCTGCCTTGGTCATAACAAAACACATACAAAATACTTCACTGGTAAGCTTTCTTATTGAAATTATTTCACAATGAGGACATTTTTGGAGAAGGCACACCTTTGTGCTTGCTCTTAAAACTGGATAATTGAACCTTTATATAAGCAAGAAACCAACGCAACAATAACGGCATTGCTAAGTCAACAAATTTAGGAAATCTATAAGGTATCAGAACATTAATGCATCAGTGATGAGACCTGTATTTGCATACCATACAAATGAGTATAATGCGATTTAATTGAATGGATGTCTCAACAATTAGACTCTAGAATGCGAGGTTAAGAGGCGAAAAGGTGAAAATTGTGAGTATCTAGCGAAATGGAAGGACTACCACTGCTTCTATTCAATCTGGAGTGGGCGGAATTAGTGGTAGGAAACATGGGGTTTCCCAAAGAGTGAAACTGAAAGAGCATTTTCTCTGGGCAGAAGTTTATCGTACAGGGATGTACAGTTTTTTTTTCAAGAGCTAATTAAATTCCTAACGCAGAATATTTGAGCAAGTGTATTAGAAAAGGGTAAAAACCATTGAGAAGAGGCTACGTTCTGAACAGCTCTGTAGAAATACTCAACTTCAACTATGTAAATAGATGGAAAAATTAAGAAGATTCACTGGGAACGTTTTCTATAATATCTGTAAATGTTGGGGGAGTATTTGGTACTAACGTCTAACATTCTGTTTCGACGTTTTTCAGCGAACTATTCGACATAGTGTAGGTAATTTCGACGATTGTGGAAACATAGGTTTTCAGCTGAATCCCCAGGGAACGTGATAGTGAAAAATAAATTCTTCTCTAATGTCGGGAGGGAAGATAAAATCCCAAAACGCTTTAGCTGTGTGCACCTGAATCAGAAAGTCAGCAGGTGAATAACCTTCCTCGAGAAATAGGAAAGCGAAAACGTTAGGCGTTGGGAGCTTACAAGCACATATAGGCTGCAGTGGGAAACTTTGCTTACCTTTTGGACCTAGCGCTTCTGTCTACTCCAGTGTTTTTCCCTGTGCACCATAGATGCTACATAAGGAATCATTCAGCGTTAACGAACGCGTTTTCGAAATGGTACTATTGGTAACATCACGCAAGTGTGAGGAAGAATCCGAAATCCCCATCTATGCTGACGGTTGTATTTAAGAAATTTTGACACGCTTCGCAATGTGTCAGATATCAAGTGGGCCGGACACGTAGGCCATATAAACGATAATTGATGATCAATCATTGTTGATGATTGGGTACCCACGGAATGCCCACCGCATTTTTGGAGGTATCATAAAAAAAGTTAATAAAAGAAAAACATTTTGCTTTACATGTTTTTCAAGTGAATCGAACCTGCAGAAATGAACGAAGAGTTTACTTTTTGTTTACTGGTCACACCTGAGTCACGGGCGATCAGTTAAAAAACAGCTTATGCAAGTGATACCATTACTTCACGAAGCCATGTTTTTTCAATCACCCCAAGACTGCAAAATTGTGTTCAATCAAGTCGACACGTCCAGCTAATTTAGAATATATTAAATATTACATTATTAATTAATTACATTATTATAGGGCACATTAAAATCACAAGTAACTAATACAGTAACTAGTTTATATCAGAATGAATGAAAATTCTACTGCACAGACATTTCTCGTTCCCATCTTCATTTTTTCTGCATTTAGTAGAGAATGTCGAGACACTTCTCAAACTGGGCGATCGGTATAGTTTCGAGTGTGTTCTGGTGAAATGCGAGGATTTCCTCATCACTGCCCCCGCCGACGAAATCGACGTGTTCACACGCCTCGAGTGGGCCATCAAGTACGCAATGGCTGACCTTCAGGTACCTCAAGGCTATTCGTACATTATACCATGAGGAAAGCACTAGATTGTATGTTCGATGAATTATCAATACTGATTGGATACATAATCGTCTTGTTATCATGATTGCTGTTATCTGACTAGAAGATGAATAGTCTCGGAGCTTGCAGTCGGATCCTGAAATCATCGTATATGCGGAGAGGAAAAGAATGAGTTGTGTGAAGATGAATGTACATGTTTGTGTTGGTATACATTGACGTAGGGATCATACGCTATATCGTTTGTTCCAGAAAATATTAAAGCAGAGCATCTCGATAATGAAACTAACAATCACACAAATAAGTTGAGGATGGTAAATTCGGGAACAAAATTTACGTGACACCTTCTTTCATCATTAAGCAAACGCGAGGTTGATAAAAGGATTTATTCCGCTGAAAACTATTCAGATGTATTCTTTCTTTGATAAACTTACACGAAGTTGATGAATAATCTTTATTCGCCTAACCAGTCAACATCTTTCGTCTTTGTCAGAGCCGATGATCCGAGTCGATGATTTACAGTTGTTTGCCTTCTCGGCGTGGCGTCTTCGTCTTCGTCTTCGTATCGAGTGGGATCTTCCTCAGTAGGGCATCTCTCGTATGAGAGATACTCAATCAGCGATGCTGTTTTACTCAGGATGCGACGATGAGGAAGATCCGACTTTATACGAAGACGAAGACGTCACATCAAGAAGACGAACAATTGTGGACCATCGAATCAAACCATTGGCTCTGATGAAAACGAAGACGTCGAAACGTTAGCCGAATAAAGATTATTTATGAACCTCCTGGTCATTTATTTAAAAAAAAATTAGGGTGCTGAGGAAACAAACAGCACCATGTGATGTGTGTGAGTATGTGAGCCAACATGATGCTATGTGATTTCTCCGTGTGTGTGTATGTGTGTGTATGCACATGTGTGTATCTCTTGTTTTTTGTATGTATGTGTATACAAGTATGTGTATGTATATGCATGTATGTATATGTATATGTACATATCTCTGTGTGTGTATATATATGTACATTTTGTATGTATGTGTATATATGTTTTTGTGAGTCTGTGTTCGTCTTTGCGTGCTATTACAGAACAGAGTGGCGAGCCATGATGAGTAACATAAAAGAGGAAGAAGAATAGAAAACTTCTGAACAGGTATGAAGGAAATTTGTTTTGGGCGATTTAGGATCACTGCGTTTCGAAGCTGAACAGTGTAGCAGACGTGGCGGCGGTGAAGAAGACATTACTGTATGGCACTTTGTCGCACGAGACAAGAAAATTGCTTCTCGATCTCATGCTTAAATTCAACAACATGTAGGAAAAGTTGTTTTACATAGGTCGCAGCACTTTTTCTTTGCTCGGTGAATGTTTCAAATATACAAGTAAATCTCGAAAGCCAACAAGCGAAATGGTGAAAAGCGAAAAACACTTGCAATGTGTCGTAGAAATTCACGTTTCCCTTCCTATAGATCCTGTCGCATGGGGTTGAAAACTTCTGCTCTTAATAAGTCAAAAGACCGACTTTCTATAAATTTCGACATAGATAGTTGATATATTTATTTATATGATCATATAAACTGATATTCTTTAGCTGATGCGAGGTTAGTATGGGTCTTCGTTGTCGTTGTTGTTAGTGTCTTTGGTCGATGGCTGACGTTTCGGCGATTTCGCCTTCCTCACAGTCTAGACGTATTTTATACAAGAATACTTTAATCATTCGGTGAAAAAAACGGCTAAAGTATTAATGAAGATCAAACTTTTAAATAGACGCCATATTGAACAGAAAGGCTACTCACCGTGATGTTACGAGTGGGACTGGCCCGCGCGTTGTTCACGTGGAGTCGTGAGCGTGACCCGCTGAGGTCAAAACACAATTCTGAAATAAGGCGCTAAATAACGTGTGATAGTGAGGCATTCGTCTTTCCGGTTCATCTTTGGATTTTTGAGATTTATCCAAAACGCCTCAAGAGTTTTGCGCGTTGATGTTTTCGATTCCTGCGCAATGATCCACGCAGTCACTTCAAAGTTATCGCCATTGTGCTTTTGTGCCCTGTGCGTACCTAGAAGAGTGTTTTGACGAATACCTTTCCCATCCATGTTCCTTTATGTGGACACAAAGTGGTCTACCCGTTTCGCCAATACATTTCTCACCGCAAGCTTTACATGAGATCAAGTATATTACACCTGAACTCATGCAATCCCCGCCTCTTCCGTTAGGACAGACCCTACAGTTTTCTGGGCTGCACAAACGATCATAGAGACGGTTTCGAACTAACTGACGGTGTAGGGTATTGGGTGGGATGTCAATAATCGGTACATAATTTTTAAGACCATTTTTTCTTAAGCATCTCTTAATGACGTAATTTGTTCCATTTGATATGAAGCGTTGCTTAAAAGGAATCTTACTTGCGTCCGAAACATTATTTTGGGAAACCATCCCACGTTTTTGTCTAACCCGAGTGGCTTCAACTTTGTAACCATTGGAAATGGCTATTTTTCGTGCCAGGTTTTGCGATTCCTCCTTTTCCTTTTCT